CTGTGCTGGAGAAAATTATATTCAATTCTCTAAGTGATACATATAGAAACACATAAACAATACTCTAGCTAAAGGAGATTTTTAAAAGTATACTAAAATTGTTGCCTATCTGAAAAATCAAGTAGGGATGGAATTACTTGAAATGTGCTTGGATAGATAAATGGAGCAAAGATTTCTTGAGGAAATTATCCATCATTTAAAATTGCCCACCATTAAAAACTGCTCAAATATTGCAACAGGTCTAGTTATCTAGCTAGTGCTGACAAAGAACTTTTTTTTGTATGACTGAAAAGGTGCAACATACACAATCCTTACTTAGATTTGGTTAGAAACAATAAATCCTGTTCTGAAGTATATATAGATCATTTACATACAGGCAAATTTGTACCTCATTTCAATGGGATTTATAACATATGGTGCAGGCTTCTCCACCTAATATAATTTGTAGGAACCTATGAGCTAAAGAATTACATGTTTATAGCTTACATGTAAATCCTTATTTCATGTTTGACTCACATATTCAGTAAAGCCAACTATATAATCTGATAATTATCAGAAACAAATGGCAAAATGGAAGAAATATTAGATTTCCAAAAAAAGTTAATGGCTCTTGTTGCTTGACAATTTTCTTTCTGCCTCTTGAAAAAAAACCCAGATTCTTCTTATTATAATAAGAGGGGTAAACATTAATGCACAATATTTCATAGCTAATACTTTGCAATCAGATAATATATTTTTCAGTATAGTTGTACTTTATCTTTTCAACCCATATATATCTGAAAGCTTTCAAAATCTTTTCAGTGAAATAAATGCTTACCACTCTCATGGAAACTTACCTGTTCTCAAAGCTGACTGTGAGGGGAAGGCTCAACTGGTCATTACTGATCAATAAACAGAGTTAAGAGAAAATCCAGAAGAGAGACTGACAACACTCAAAATGGAAAAGAGTTTCTATATAAACCAGAAGAAACCTGAGGATCAAGAAGAACAGACTGAAGGGAAGATAAACATTTCTGGACAACTATGTTGAGATGGAAAAATAGAGAGACGATTTGTTAGCCCTTCCCAAAAATATGGCGACTGAATGGCCTCTTTTATTTCAAACAATATATATAATAACAGAGGGAGATCTACTTGATGATTTAAAAGCACAGATATGGAAGGCGAGTTGGCAAAGAAAGCAAGCTAGAATAAGGCTGAAGAAAATTGGGGTTTTGACTTATTAGTGAGGATTAAAATAGAATATACTCAAATAAACAAGATAGGTATTTTGAATACTAGATTTTGTTATAAACTGAGATAAAGAAAATTTTGGTCATTTAAAACTTGGAAGTATAAATGCTAAAAAATTTGAATATTGATTTGTTTATAAAGGTTGAATGTAAAACTAATTAAGATATATATAAGCTAAAAATCTATTGATAAATGTAATAAACATGTTTTTATTTAGCTGATATAATAAGAACTGTACTAGCTTAAATATGAGATAGTAGACATTAAGAGAAAGAGAGGAAGTATTTGATGTGGAAACAAGAGAAATCTTGGTTACTAAATTTAAGACATTTGGAAATTAATAGAAAATAAGAATGTTATACTGTATTATTAATTAGATGATATAAGATAGTGAGAAATAGAATATATTCAAATAGATAAGACAGGTATCCTGAATATTAGACTTTGTGATGAATTGTGATAAAGGAAACTTTGATTACTTAAAACTTGGAAATTATAAACATTAAACATTAAATTTAAATATTAATGGGAAACTAAAAATTGGGAAAAACTAATTAGGATATTGATTGTGTATAAAGACTGAATGTTAAAATAACCAGGATATGTATAAACTAAAAATTATCGATAAATGTAAGAATGTTATTTTTAATTGATATAATAAGAATTGTATTAGTTTAAACATGAGACAGTAAATACTAAGTGAAAAAGAGAGGAAATATTTAATGTGGTAGTTTAAGACTTGTACTAAAGATACTTGTATGTGTCATGCCTCCATCCAAGCCTGACTCTGAGGACGACATGGAGTTCCCTGTTGAGGCCCAGGAGGGGGTGTCTGTGGCTTCGGAGGACTGTGGGAAGGAACAGGCTGAAGCAGGCCAAGGCCCTTCAAGTTTGGAACAGGGAAGGCAGAGCTCAAGTGAGGAGCAAAGCCCCTCCCCACCAGATCCCAGAGCAAGGAGAGCAGAGAGGAAGAGGGAACAACGGAGGCAGGCTCACTTGCTTGGGAGGAGAAGGTCACATCCCACTTCACAAGGCACACCTGGGGAGTAGGTATTTAAGGATATGCTGTGGGGTGGGGCATTTGCTGGGAACAAACGTGAACTCTTGTGATGTGAGCTCTTGTACCTGGACTGTTTGTTTCCTGCTGAGTTTTCCTTGCTGTCTTCAGTTTTGCAGTTTGCAGGTTATAGGCAAGCTGGGCGTTGAAAAGATCATACTTGGTTTGTTATCTGTTTTACTTTAAAGAACTATTTAACTCCGTTGACTGTTTTATTGAACTTGTGCCAGCATATGTGGGGGCTGTTGGGTGAACGTTGGCAGTGCTTACAAAGACAATTATTCTGACCAGCTAATTGCTTTGCCTCCTTTCAGGGCCCTGGGTCATCACAGTATGTCATTGAATTATCGATTAACTCAGCCGCCATGTTGCTTTTTAAATACTTAAATGTAAAATTAGAAAATCAATAAAACATTATAAAAAAGAAATGTACTTTTAATGGCTAAGTGTAGCAATTTCTTCTTATCATTGCTGTCAGTTATACATAATTAGATTGAATAATGAATATTTTATAGGCATGATTTTTCTGCCTTCATGGAATTCTCAAGTAATTTAAGTTAAATTGATCTCTGTTCAAAGTTTAACTGATATTGCAGCCCATATTACAGTCTTATTTCTTATTTGATTTTTTTTCCTACCAAACATGATCTTATTTATAGAATTCTCTTTTATAAGGCAGTATTGGGATCTAGAATGAGATCCAGTGACAGAGTCAAGGATGAAAGAAAGTATAGATTTTGCTATACCTCATTTAATCACCAAGTTCCCATCCTAATGAGCATATCATTAAGCTAAATGAATGTCACAGAAACATCACTGGGAAGATTATTGATTGCTGCCATCTCATTCAGATAAAGTTCTCTTGTGGAGCAATGACAACATTATTTTCACTCTGGCATGTGTTGTTGTCAGGCACATGAACTTTGATCGTAAATGGGTATATTAATCAGAAAATGATTTTTATTGCCATCATATTTGCAAATGATTATTAACCAAAGTAGTTATATGAGGAATGTGTGTATTTAAAAAAGGTTCAGGTTTTGACTATTTATTGGAAATACTAGATACAGATACTTCAGTTCACAGATGTTAGGATGAAACTGAAGAGTAAACTGCTTCCATTTTCTCTGGGAGCAAACTTTACAGGTTGTAGTATATGAAAAGATTTTCATCTATAGGTTATACTTACTGGTGTACACCGCTTAGAGAGTGCTTGCACTTAAAGCGGTATATAAGTCTCATAAATAAATAAATAAAATATGCACACTGAATATTGTCTACTGGCAACATAAAAGTAGCAACTGAGATTCCAAGAGTGGGACAAAAGAATCCAACAACCAGGCCAAACAACTAACATAGCAAAAAAAAAACTGATCAGTAATTGCCATTACAGAAAATGAAACTACTTAGTCAGAGAAGTTATAATTGTTATAGAATTTCCTGTCACAAGGTGTAGCGACCATTTGTTTAGAGAACTCAGTGGAAACTATTCAGATCCACAGAACAGTATTTCTTAGATATTTTGCTCTCTTCCCACTTTTAAAAGTTAGAGAAGACCCAAAAGAACTTTTATTTATGTATCAATACATGAAACATGTAAAAATAATAATTTTAAACCCATTACATATTAAGATAAATTAAGTATTCTTCACCCTATTTTTAACCAAAAAAAGAGAGTCAGTGTTTTACATTTTTACAAATATCTTCAATGTTTGGCAAATAATTATGTTTGCTAAACTTTGAAAGTGGCTTGGGGGACTCTCAGGCTCCTTTGACCATACTTTAAAAAATGTCTACAAGTATAGTATGTAAAGACAATTTAACTCTCTTATTGTGTAGTCGTAAACTAAACTCCAAGTTCCACAGCAGATCTTGGAACATATTTCCAAAAGGATGACCCAACAAATCACATGTTATCAAGTATGTAATATAATTCATTACAGCACAACACATAACAGTAATTAAAAATAGTTCTATTTTTAAAATTGATGTAACTATTTCAAAACCCACCATATAAGCGATCTCAAACTATACCCCATACCATGACATGTATGGTTTAAGTTGAATAAACTGGAAGAGTACCTAGAAAAAAAAATCATTAGGAAATGTATTTGGGAGCGAACAATATATTTTTATGTATGCAAATAATAAAGGTGGAACAACAATGATGTGCAAAATGAATTCAAAATACAACAATCACAAGCTAGTTCACCCCTCCCCAACCATTCTAGGACTATCCCAAGAACAAACTGGCCTAAATGAATGTAGAACATTTGTTTTGAAATGAGCACATATCTGTTTTTATTTTAAGAGTGTATTTAAATCAATTTGCCACAATCTACTACTTCATAAGTAGAAAAATATGGGTTAGACAGCCTCACCACCAGATGGATTTGTAGATGGCTGACCGGCTGTACTTAGCATGTGGTTCTCAATGGAACTGCATCTACATGGAGGGAAGTGTGTAGTAGGGTGCCCCAGGATTCTGTTCTGGATCCAGTGCTTTTCAACATCTTCATCAATGATTTGGATGAGGGGATAGATGGGGAACTCATGAAATTTGCAGATGACACTAAGCTGGCAGGAATAGGCGGACAACTAAATTTCATTTTTGATGTGTGCTGTTGTGCCCACAGTAAAAAAAAAATTACAATAAAGGTTATCTTATCTTATCACCTTATCTTATCTTATATCTTATCTTATATCTTACCTTATATCTCATCTCATCATCTTATCTTGCCAACACTCCAGAAGATAGGCTTAAGATACAGAAGGATCTTGACAGACTTGAACATTGGGCACTATCTAACAAAATGAAATTCAATGGTGAAAAAAGTAAAATTCTACATTTAGGCAAGAAAAACCAAATGTACAGGTACAGTATAGGTCAGGGGTGTCAAACTGCTGGCCCACAGGCCAGTTGCATCATATGGAGGCTGCATCCACCCCACCTCCGGCAATGCAAAAAAAGTCATGATACATCGCAACACGTCAAGTGACGTATAGGTGGTACCTTGCTCAACAGTAGTAAATATTAAATATTAAATATGAGCCAGCAGTGTGCTGCAGCTGCCAAAAAAAACCAACACAGTGGTAGGATAAAATCAAGATCATGTGAAGTGTTAATACCACTTTACAATGCCTTGGTAAGGCCACACCTGGAATACCGCATCCAGTTTTCATCACCATGATGTAAAAAAGATGTTGAGAATCTAGAAAGAGTAAGAGAAGAGCAACAAAGATGATCAGGGGATTGGAAGCTAAAACATATAAGGAACGGAATTGGGTATGTCTAGTTTAATGAAGAGAAGAATGAGGGGTGACATGATAGCAGTGTTCCAGTATCTCAGGAGTTGCCACAAAGAGGGAGTCAAGCTATTCTACAAAGTACCTGAAGGCAGAACAAAAAGCAATGGATGGAAATTAATCAAAGAGAGCAGCAACCTAGAGCTAAAGAGAAATTTCCTGACAAAATAATTAATCAGTGGAACAACTTGCCTACAGAAGTTGTGAATGCTCCAACACTGGAACTTTTTAAGAAGAGACTGGACAACGATTTGTCTGAAATGGCATAGGGTTTCCTGCCTGAGCAGGCGGCTGGACTAGAAGACCTCCAAGGTCCCTTCCAACTCTATTGTTGTTGTTGTTGTTGTCAAGAACCAGGGAAATCAGGAGATTCAGACAGTTCAAATGAGCAGAAAGATTTATTGCAAGAATCTGAACTATTAACGATCAAAGGAAATTACTGGGAGTTAAGAAGGAATTCAAGGTGGGCTGGATTTAGATGTGTTGTAGGCAAAGTTACTCATGACTGATGATGTATTTGACCATCTCCCTTGAGTTCAGCCTGATCATCTCCTACAATGATCAAGCTAATGACAACAAGTTCAACAAACAGGCTTAGAAATGATAATAAAGGTGGATATTTTCTGCCTTTTAGGATCACTTATCAGCAGTAAAAGAACCAGAAATGAAGACTTCGTAACACTAATGAGTAGGGTAACAAAAATTTTTTGAAAAAGATATTCATATGCTATTATGTATCTGCATCTACAAACAACAGAATCATGTAAGGAAAGCTATGACACATACTGTGACAAATCCATATGAAAACGATAAGGAATCAGAATATTAAAAATATTGATACCTTTGAACTTTGGTGAAGATTCTTGAGTAAATCATGAAACTAGAAAAGACTAAGAAACAAGCAAATAGATCACAGAACAAATCAATCCAGAATTCTTATTTAATAAGTCCATAATATAATTCTTATATTTGATAAGTCCATAATGTTGGAAAATGTGGAAGAAAGAGAAAGAGGATAACTAAACAGCAAGGTGAATGGGTCTGAATTATATTAGCAATGTGTATTCTGTTGGTAGACTTGAAATCCAGACTGAAGAGACACTATTGTAGAGATCTATGTAGGTGGTTGCTAACAGTTGACTTTAACTTGACAGCACATAAAATGTCAAAAATCTTGCACAGTACCTCTTGGCTTGAAGAATTTCAGAGCCACATATCAGCAGCTGAGATGCATTTCAGTTGCACACCTGTGGCTCAGAATTCTACAATTTGGCTTGTTTCCTGTGAAAACCTATTTATAACTCTATCATTAACTTCCCCTAAGTATTTAGTTGCTATCATTGTACCATGAACAGGAAAACTGATGAATATTCCCTCTTCAGGTGTCTCTACATGTCTGGATGCTTTCTAATATTCCAATCTGGGTTAGTTTTTCCACATAGCTGGCTTATTTCCACATAAGCAACTAAGCAGCATCCAATAGATTATATATAAAATCCAAAAGCTTTCTCATAAAAAAATGATGCTAATTACTAATGCTTTGCATATAACAGATACTCATTTTACAAAAAGAATTAAAAGAATATATCATCTTCACAGAAGCTGTTGGACACCAAACAAAGTGGTACATGTATCTAGAGTTTCCAAGCCTAGACTAATGCATTCCACATGGAGTTGCTATTATGTAAATCCATTAACTTTAGCTTGTACAAACCTAGCAGCTCCCCTCCAAAAGAATGTGAAGAAATCATACACAAGTCTTAAAGTACTGCAGTGGCCACCAATTTATTTCTGGACAAAGTACAAAGTAAGAATCATTACTTTTAAAGTTGAACATGGCTTAGGACCATGCTACGATCTATGAACCTTAGTGGTGACTGAGAGCAATTGAGGAAATTTACCCATAATTGCCAAGAGTTCATTTGGCAGTGACTCAAGACAGCTTCCTCTATTGTTGCTCCAGGTCTTTAGGAGACACTCCTTGTAGTGTGTAAGATCTATATTAACTTTTACAAGACTCCTTAAAATATAGCTACCATATTTTCCAGCGTATAAGACGACTTTCTAAACCCTGAAAATCTTCTCAAAAGTCAGGGGTCGTCTTATACGCCCAGTCATCTTATACGCTGGAATATACTGTACTTGCGGAAAACCTCCGCCTCGCTGCGGCAAATCTAGAAGGACGCATGATGGAGAGCAGAGGAGGAGGGGGGGAGTGGTTCGACTTCCACGGGAATGGAAAGAAGTAAAATTGCCTCTTTCTTTCCTTGCATGCTTCTTCCCCCTCCCCCCGTTTTGGGATAAAAACAGATTGACTCAATGTTACACAGACTCTTTCCACGCAGGTTCACATATTTTGTTGCATTTCAAGCGCACTAATCTCTCTCCCCCTCTCTCTCCCTCCCTCCATCTCTCTCTCTCTCTCTCTGTGTGTGTGTGTGTGTGTGTGTGTGTCTCACGCGGCCCACCAGAGTCCTCTTCTCCTCACCCACCCACGGTAGCTATTTCTTTAGAGGAGAGTTAGCACACCCGCCTCCCTGCCGGTACGCTCTGCAAAAAAAAAATGCTCACTCACTTTGCTCGCGCAATGCCTCAAAATTCTTCTCCTCTAGTAGCCCGTCGTCTTTGCCTGAGCAGCCCGACCATAGCAGCGCTACTGCCACTGTTCATACTTCTGATTCTGTATACTTGGTGCTCTCTTTGGGAAAGCTTTTTTTTTCCGCCAGAAACAGATTTCCTACATTTCATCAGTCCACACAGACAGAACGGAAGTTTAATGCTGACCTGAGGGAGGGGAGTAGGGGGTGGGGGGGATGGAGGGGAATAGAAAGAAGCGGCAAAACAGCAAATGCAGGTTTACCATAAGAAAGAGAAGGGTATTGAATTACAAACTCTGAGCAGAAACTTTGGACCAAGAACCAGCCAGTGCTTATTTATGTTACTTCCAATGCGCTAAGAGGAGAGCTGGCTTTGAAAAGAATGCTGGATGGGATTGATTGGGAACATTTAATGACACTTACATGCAGTAAAATGTTTCAGCAGGGGGACATCAGGTGCCAAGGCGGACTTTATTCCTTTAAGCTCACTGGGCAGAATCCATATCTTCTTGAGGCCAAGGACAGTGCTCCCATGGATGGAAAACTGGCATAAACTTGCCTGGGTATACTTTTCTTCTTGCAGAGCTACAAGCGAATAGAATAGAATAGAATAGAATAGAATAGAATAGAATAGAATAGAATAGAATAGAATAGAACCTTGGAGGTCTTCTAGTCCAGCCCCTGCTCATGCAGGAGAACTTATACCATCTCAGACAAGTGGATGTCCAGTCTCTTCTTAAAAATCTCCAGTGATGGAGTGCCCACGATTTCTGGAGGCAAGCTGTTCCACTGGTTGATTGTCCTCACTGTCAGGAAGTTTCTCCTTAATTCCAGGTTGCTTCTGTTTTTCATCAGTTTCCAACTGTTGTTTCTTGTCCTTCCCTCTGGTGCTCTGGTAAACAACCTGACCCTCTCTTCCTTGTGGCAGCCCCTCAGATACTGAAATACTGCTATCATGTCTCATCTATTTCTTCTTTTCTTTAGACTAGCCAAACCTAAGTCCCACAGCTGTTCTTCACGTGTTTTAGTCTCCAGGCCTTTGATCATCTTAGTTGCTTTTCTCTGATTTTTTTCCAAACTCTCAACATCTTTTTTGTGACATGGTGACCAAAATTGGCTGCAGTATTCCAGATATGATCTTACTAGGATTTTATAAAGCGGTGCCTCTGTTTATACAACTCAGGATTGTATTAGCTTTTTTGATTGCAGCTGCACACTGCTGGCTCATAGTCAAGTGATTGTCCACTAGGACACTAAGGTCCCTCTCATAGTTATTGTTATTAAGCCAGGTCTTGCCCAATCTGTACTTGTACCTTTGGTTTTTTATGCCTAAATGTAAGACTTTACTTTTCTCCACATTGAAACTCATTTTGTTGGGATAGGGCCCGTTGTTCAAGTTTGTCAAGATCTTTTTGGTTCCTGAATTTCCTTCTGGGGTGTTGGCTACTCCTGTCAATTTGGTGTCATCTGTAAATTTGATGAGTTCCCCTTCAGTTCCTTCATCTAAATTATTGATGAAGATATTGAAGAGTACTGGGCCTAAGACAGAACCTTGTGGTACCCTTCTTTCCATGTGGATGTAGTACCATTACTTCTTTCCATGTGGATGTAGTACCATTAAGGACCACTCATTGAGTACAGTTTGTCAGTCAGCTACAGATCCATCTGGTGGTGATGTTGTCTATTCCACCTTTTTCTAGCTTACCAAGGAGTAGGTTGTAGTCTATTTTGTCAAATGCCTTAGTAAAATCTAAGTATCCTATTTTCTGGCGTATAAGACGATTTTCTAAACCCTGAAAATCTTCTCAAAAGTCAGGGGTCGTCTTATATGCCCAGTCGTCTTATACGCCGGAATATACAGTATTTGCACAGGCTTTCAACGTTGATTTTAACTATTAACTATTCAATCTAGTTATTTAATTTCTATTTTAAGTATTTCTACTGTTTCCATTTTAAAGTTCTGTAAATTGCTATGAAACTTCACTACTCTATCAAATATATAAAACAAATAAATCATTATCCGTCATCATAACATTACCTATTCCTGAGTTATTTACCCAACTGGTCCCAAATAATATATATTTTTCAAGAATTCTGTCCATTGTGTAATGTGTAACAGAAATATGCCATCAAGCAGTTACTTTTATCTTTATTTAGAGATTGCCTGTTTTTTGAAATTGTTAAAATTTGTCATGGCATAGCAAGCAACTCTTTTCAACTAATTCTTAAAACATAAATCTGCCTGTTCCTCTGGTGAGAACACAATAGGTCCAAGGCACACCCAGTACCTGATTTTCCCATGGGTCCTTTAATGCATGAAGCTGTTCCACATTTTGCTTCTTTGTGTTTTCAAATTACAGTCTTAGCTTGTACAATTTAAAGTTGCAAAATTATGCAAAATCTTGTGCTTAGCATTAAAGTGGAATATGTGTAGTAATTAAATATTTTTTCAATAGTAGCATCTTATTATGGAACATTCTCCTGCATAAGAACAGAATGCCCATAGTCTCCTGGCATTTTGATAATAGGCCAAAGCAACCTTTTTCCAGTTGATTTTGGCTTTTAGCTTAGGAGAAAGCTACCTTTAATATAGAGGTTTTTAAAATTCTTGATTTGTATTATTTATGTATAATAGTACAGTTTTTTTCACAAAATACATTAGGATTACAGCAGATTGCAAATATTATGAAGATAAATATTAATTGAATAAATTTTGAATCAGATAAGTGTATCTTTGAATGTGGAAGAATTTAGAGTTATCAACACTATTATAATCATTGCTTCTATATACCATAGGCTCACAATTTGAAATCATTGTAGCAGATTACTTAAAGAAAATACAATTTACATGAAAATCCAAGAATGATAATATACTTAAAGCTTATCATATTCAAAAACATTATACTGAACTTTATTTTATTAGCTACTAAGGTAAATGTAAAGAACTACTTCATGCTGAATCATATTATTTACTCAACTAGTTCAGTATTGAATTCAGTGGTTGTCTGGCCGATTTAGACATGTCAGAATTAAATGAGCTTTGACTCTTGCACAATATACTAGAAATAATAGGTGTGTAAGATCTTACATTAATCTTAATGAATACTTGCCCCAACTCTTCTAAACTGCATGCTTGATTATTAAATTTGTTGGCTTCAAGTCAGAGATACGAGCGTAAGACAAAAGTTTCTGAAAGCATCAAAACTGGAAATGTTACTCATAGGTTTTTTTTTCTTTTTATGCTATTTATGGAATCAGACTTTGGACTCAGAAAGTAAATCTTCGTCTTTACATGCACATGACAAAATAATCTCTCTGAAAACAGTCCCAGAGAAGAAATAGAAGATTTATAGAAGAAAAATGATGCCAGGAAAAGATTATTTGAAAATGACCTTAAGATCCAGACAAACTTTAAGTAAACCTTAAAAAATAGAGGTATAATAAATAAATTAAAATGTTTAAATGCCCAATTTTTTAAAAAGTCATTTATAAAAATGAATAGTTATTCTGGATGAAAGTGAAAGTGGAGATTTAAGTAAAGACTGGGGGAAGCTTCTTTGCAAATAGGCAAGTACTGTACTGATTTCTTAATCTTGTAAATATATTTAAACTTACTCTAGAACAGGGGTCCCCAACCCCTGGACTGGTACCGGGCATGCTAACAACCGGTCTGCATAAACAAGCAAAGCACCATCTGTGGGATGCCGGCAGCACACAAAACCATACACCCTCCAGTTCGTGAAAAAAACTCTTTCCATGGAACCAGTCCCTGGTGCCCAAAAGGCTGCGGACCTCTGCTCTAGAGGATTGGTCAATTAATATTTGACAGGCTTATATGATAATTGAGAGAAAGACTCTCCTTAGATTAGATCTGAACATTTTTACCATGTGCATTCACTATTTACTAGCAATAGTTCATATTAGCATGATGCAACTAAGGGCAGGGCTGTCAAGGCAGAAAATTAGGATCTTAGGTCCAGATATAGGCCAGGTGCAACCAGCCAGCCAGTATGAGAAACAAATTACAAGAAAAGAAAAGGCATAAGAAGGAAACTCAGAATTAAATTCAAGATTTAGGACATGTTATATATATATGAACCTAGATTCTTCATATTTGTAAAAGCTAGTTTTCTTCATAATGATGGTCCTTTAAATATGTAACAAAATTTCTCAAGCTGAATCCTTGACTATTAGAGGGCTGAATTTTTAAAGAAACAAAAATTAATGCATTGGCCTGGGAAAAATCCTTCATTCCAGAATAATAATAAACTCACCTATAACTCTCAGACAATGATATTAACAATGAAATTTGAATTTGATTAACAATTTGAATTTCTACAATTTACATAATTTTAACAATATTTTTAGAATATTATAAACTACCAACACAACGAGCTAAAACAAAACTAATTACATATAAATGAATATACTGTTTTGTAAAACAACTAATTTGTAGTTCTGAATACACTTACTTAAAAAGTTCACTAAATGAAACTTTCTTTTGAGTAAAAGTCCATAGCAAGCAGATTATAAATGTTTTGTTCTTAACAAGGGCTTATGTTATTCTAAATCCATTGTATGGTACAATGTATAAAAAGACTGAACACTTAATTACTTTTAAAAGATTTTGAAGACTGATAGCCAAACATGTCAGCCTATAATAAACTATAGTACTTAAGCTAAGTTACATTTCCTATGTAAATCAGAATAATTTCAATTGCTAAACTATTATTTTATGCAATTTTGCTCAGAGTTATAAAACCATGGGACAAATGAATAGACTTGCATTTTTGAAAGAAAAAGTTGTCAAAGCCTTATCATCTGAAGAAAGCTTGTTTTCTAAGAGGTTCAATAAAAGATAACTACTAATATTAATTATTTGACTTATAGAAATGTATTGTGTATAACAAAATATTTAAATTCTAATAATTATTTTAAAACTAATAATTACAATATCTCTACTTCTATGCTTATGTCATGTCCATTCTAGATATAAATTTCAGGTTTACATCTCTGTTATAACTATAGAATCATTTATTTCATTTTTATCATAATTGCTAATAATTAACTTGATTATCAACACTGCATCAATACAGAAATGAAAACATAACAAAAGTAAGCAATGAAATGGTTGGCTCCTTAATTATGTAGAACATACATTTACAAATAAAAGGCAGACAAAAGTTCTTAAAACCTAAAAAGCCCTTCTGAGCATTTAATAAAATGTTAGAATAATTTGTTTCATTGTTTGGAAAGGAAATTCCTGAGTTCACACTGAATACAAAAGATAAATCATGCATGTCGGGTATTCCGTCTTATTTTGAGGTGCAACACCCTACTGCCTAGTCATAACAATCTTAAACTCCTGGTGTTTTACAAACAGCTCTCATTTTTGCCTGGATAACACTCTTGATTGTTAGAAAGAGGGTAGGACCCGAAGCAGAAGGATTTAGATTTAGAATAATACAGATTAAAAAGGTGGGGGTCATACACTTCCAAAAGTTCTACAGATTTATGTTCAGGCTGAGACAACTCTTATTCTTTTCCATGCTGAACAGCACAAACTATTTATTGTAGCTTTCTAT